AGTTTTTAGTCATCGTATTTTCTACTTTTGTCGAATCATCAAGCCGTTTTGTTGCTTTTCTCGTGGTGATTCGACGATTGGTCATTTTAGAAAGCGTCTGTCATTCGGGCTTTTACTTTTGGGATGCCAGCTTTTGCCTAGGCATGCTATCCTCGCCGCATGCTATGTCTAACTATTGGTGTATTTTCTGACGTATCCCACGCATTTGAAAAGATCCACAACCATTTCCTTGTCTGTACCTTGAAAAGCTCAGATCGCATTCTCCTTTTTATCCTATTCACGCTCCCGTATAGTACCAAGATCTCATTATCCTTTCTGAGACACCAGACGCGTACCGCCCCACGGCGGCGCCACAAACTCCAAAAATCCAATTGAGAAGGAGGCGTGGCCTCTCGGGCCGAAAGACCACGGGATCACCACCTCGCTGGCTAATATTGGCCAACGTTTCCGCGCCCCATTCCGGCACCTTGCTCTCGGCTTATCAGACCTTATACGGTCCTGAAAACAGGGCAGACACCGGAATTTCGTCATAGCGATTCCGGCGCAGAGCCTCGAGTTACTCTCCGCCCTCACCCGGCCCTCGATTCCTTTGTTTGTCGGCTGCAAATATTTTGCAGTCACCCCCGGGGCTGAGGTCTGACAGACGTTTTTCGAAATGATTCGACCGAGCTTGAGGGCGTGGCATGCTAGCAGAGGTTTTTGGGGATCGGGGCTAGCCTCTAATGTCAAATTTTTCGCAATTTTACCCACCCTTCCATTGAAAGGCATCTAGCAGCGACTCTTTGAGGAATTCCAGGATACGTAAAGCTGACAAGTGTTCATTAGGAATGGTTGAATTTCAACACCTTCGCAGCGGTTTTTCGAAATCTTTCCCCCGCCCGACTCGTGCCCGACGGCTTACACTTTCGTATACTTATGCAAGAATACCCAACCTCATGCTTTCGCCGCCCCGTATCTACCCAAATATTTGCTCCAACCCTTGGCCGGGCCCAATGAATCAGCAGGAAAACTGGTCCCGACAAGGCCGTGAATCAGCGATCACTTGATCGGTGCTGGGTTGCTCATTTTCGGAAATGGCGAGGGGCTTCTGGGTGCTTCATTACTGTCGTTTTCGTTTGCTCTCTCTCTCTCCCTCTCTCTCTCTCGCTTTATCTCGCGCTCTCTCCCTCTCCATATCTATCCTTAAATTCTGTTCCAGCTACAGTAATCCAAACATCCTGGATCTATATGGCAAGGCCTACTTCCCCTAAGCCAAGCAGATACCGTACCCTCACTTCCATCCCATTCAGCCGCCCTTTTTGGCCTGCGCACCATGTCGGATTAAACTCAGCGCCCTCTTCCAGTTTTTGCTCAAAATCACATCCGCACTTGAGCGCCGAGTACAAATTCCCCCTCCGGATGGGATTTGGGCTTTTTTTGAGGGGAATTTGATCTCTACTTTTATTTGTGATAGACTGCCCGGATTAGTAATGGGATTTTGTGGGTTTTGGTGCGTTTTCGGTTTTTGGGTTTTACGAATTCCTCATGGATTTCAGGTTTCTCCAAAAACTGCCCTAAAATTTTCCATCTGAATTCCTAAGTTTTTACGGGAAGTTAACCTTGTAGAACGCGTAATTTCTGAATCTCTTAATAACGTTCGCTATTTATACGTTTTCCAACGCTGTCTTGCCTTCCAGCGGCCTTTAAACTTTTCTTAAACCCGGTTTTCCAGATACAAAAAACCCCTTCACAACCGCCAAAATTACGGTAAACGACCAGCTACTCGCGATGATGAGCGACGGGCAGGCCCACGCCGCGCTGGCCTTTTTGATGGCCGGCGTCAACGGGCAGCCGGCGTACAACATTGACCACTTGATACGGTGGGTGGCTTTCTGAAAGCTTTACGACTTACATACTCAGATACAAGGAAGTATAACCTAATCAAATATTTTTGCTTTTAGGAACGTCGGCAACTTGAATAACATCCCCGGCCTCACCCAAACCGGCATGGGATCTGCGGCCGAGTCGAATTCCACAACCCCCGATGCCCCCAACCAGGCCCAGAATTCCACACCGGAAGAGGCGTCAATTTGGTGAGTCTTATAAATTTTATTTTCATTAATTGGAGTGGCGAACACTGTAATGTAATGTAATAAAATACTCTTTCCTTACTCGACCTTTCTCATTTTTCTTACGCAAGTATACGTTTTGTCCCTTGTTTTTTTCGCGCTGATCTTTGCTGCCTATATTGTACATAGTCCAGATCACAACCGCTTCCACTAAAAGTTTATGACTGTTTTCGGCACGTATCGCTTGGAAAATCATTAATTCCATGCTGAACTCTGATGCGGGGTTTTTGAGCGCTTTTACCAGCCAGCATTGGACTGTATTTTTGCGTCCTTTCGGGTCTAGATTACAGGAAATTGAATAAAAAGTCTTTTACCAAATCCTAGACTCAATTAAACCATGATAAAACCAAATGGCAGCCAGTGAAAAAGCCCAGACATTCGCCAGCCTCTGATCTCCGCGTCGAGCCTTCGTTTTTCTCATGTCCGAGTCATCCGCCGCCCCTTATTAATTCTTCTTTTTCGCCTTCGCCTATTGTTCGCTCGTTGTTGGTACATTGGCCTTTAGTACATTCCCCCCTCGAGAGCGAGCACATTCCGGCAATGTACCAGGCACAAGGCCGCCGATCCTTGGACCACCCGTAAGGTGTCCATGCGCGGAAGACCTTATTGACTTTGCTTGATTTTTTGTCGTCGGCCCGGGTTTGGTGAATTGACTTTTTTATGGTTTTGGGACGACTGACGTGACCTAAAAGTTAGATAGGAAAATAAAATTTTTTAGCCGTAGTTCAAAAAGTTATTTTTCATCATTTTTAAGTGTTTTTCTAGCTTTTTTTAGGGGGCGAAATCGAATGCTTTCCGTATCTTACCTTCCTAGACGACCGTATTCATCTTGACATTTTAGTACCGTATTCATCTCGTTTTTTTTGTGGCCGCGTCATACTTGCCAATTTTTCGCCCTCAGTTTTAATCCATGTACCATCTACCGTAAACCTTCCGTTGCCCGGCTCCGTGGTCTTTACGTCTTTTAATCTGTCCCTGACCTGCAGACAAATTTTTCCCCAACCCTACTATAATCCAAAGACTGGGGTCTGGTGAACAAAATCTATTTCGCGCCCTCGATCTGGATACGGTGAACCCAGCATCCTGGCGCGGCTTGGAGACGTGCCAACCCTGCCAAGCAGCCCACCCAAAAACAAGGGCTTATGCCCGGCTTATCGCCTTAGGCGCCAGATCAAAATATGCCCTTTGGCCTCGTGATCTCTGGCCGGCTGACTAGATGGTGCTGGTGGGGGTAATTTGAGAATTGGCGCGTCACGGGGTGGTTTTAGTTCGGAAATTCGAGATGATTGTCGCGGGTTTGGGGTCGTGTTTTAGTGGCGTAGGCGTGGAAAAATTTGCGATCGAACCTTGCGAAATGTTGCTTAGCTTAGCTGATGCTTAAGCTTAGGCGAGGAATTGGCTTAAGAAAGCTTTGGAACGCTTTGGAATTTAGCTTTGGTCTGACATAGACTTGGCTTTGAATCAAGCTTAAGCTTATGCTTGGTTTGGAGGCTCAGCTTCAAGACTTAGCAGCTTCAAATGGCTACTACATTAGGTTAGTTGGACGCGATTATTCGTCGGCATCTCCTTGAATTGCCAATTTTGGACGCAAAACACCGAAAAATCAGCCAAAACATTTTCAAACAACCAGATCCCCAGAATTCCCTTACCCGACAGTAACCCAGAACGCTCATTTTTTTGTTGTTTTCCACCCCTGTGCAAGGACAAGCCCGTCGTGTTTTTTCAACCTCCATGGACCGCTCCTCACCATCCTAAAAGTGTTGATCCAAACTGGGACCCCCCGGCCGGCCAGCCGAGGACGAGCTTTTTTTCGGGTCGCCCGTTCTCTGGTCTGCTAGCGGCCCTAAGGCGAAGAGGGGCCCAAAGGGTCCAAAGAGGAGACCCAAGGCAAGAGAGCCCAAAAAGTGGCATGCAGAGACTGCAAGTGAGCAATGGGGGTCTCGGCGAGGAGCACCCGGGTGGCCGACTAGTCGAAGGGGTCAATGGTCGAAGACCAATGGCTGTTTTTTCGCCTCTCGGCGCTGCCGAACGTTCAGCGGGTCCTGCCACGAATTCAGGGGCGGCAAAAAATAGAACGCCCGCGATTTGGGAGTGGACGCGTATGAATGGGGGAGCGGATGAGCTTTAGGCGATCGGACTACAGTAGCAAGAGCAAGAGGTCGAAAACGTATCCAGACGTTAGGCTACTCCTTTCAAATGCAATATTGTCATTAATAACTAATTTCCATCCAGATTCAGATGAAAATAGGTATTGTGAAATGGTGCAGAAATAGCTTCACGATACTAAAGGTCTTAAAGTAATTAAAGTTCAGCTACTTTTTCCTCCTGCGATCGACGAGTTAGATTTGTTAGAAATCAAGAACGTGTAAGAACTACCATATTTTATCCAAGTTTTTCAGCTCGGTCTGCAAAGATGAGGCATCCGGACGACACTACGGCGTCGTCGCCTGCTTCGGATGCAAGGGATTTTTCCGGAGAACCGTCCGAGCAGGCAAAGCCTACGTCTGCCGATACGAGCAAAAGTGCAGGATTGACAAAGGTTGGTAAAACCAGAAAAGCTATCTTTTCACTTCTAAAAATTTCCCCCTATAACCAAATCTAAATTTTTCAAATCTTTGGTCGCTCCGACCCAAGGATTTTCCCCTTTCAAAAAACAGGCTTCCGTGCCAAGCAAACCCCGGCACTAAATTCGTTGCACTTTAGCGCCTGACCGAAAAGCTACCGTAACCCCCCCCCGGATGACCAGAGACTTTTGACCGTAATCCGGATCTCGGATATCCCGTCGCCTCTTTTTTGAGAGTTGAAACGGATTAGTCGAACCGAAGATTCCCTATTTCAGCCGGCCGAAACGTGTGCCGATCCTGTCGATTCCAGAAGTGCCTTGAAGTTGGAATGGAGCCTGATGGTCAGTTTTTTTCCGATTACGGTAGAATTCCCATCTTTTAGCCATCCGTCCCGACCGGGATAAGACTGGGCGCCAAAAGAACCCACGCCGGACAACCGCCCAGACACCGATGCTGAGCGGCAACGTCAAGCAGGTCAACCAGATCGACAACGATGCAGAAGGTGCGGTTTTTTGAGAGCAATAAATTGAATGGCACATTTGTAAAAACATTAAAATGGGGCGGCGGGAAGGCCCCCGTGGCCTCCGGCGCCATATCCCCCCGCCCCCGCCCCGTCGCCCGGCACTGGATGGCGCCAGGCGAGTGGCGGGGGGTGCCCGCGGCGGAACCGTGACGACGTTGCCGGCCGGTAAGCGAGTACCTTTAATAGAGTCTTTCAAGCATAAAATTTAAAAGCTGGATTGTTTCGGTATGTAAGTAATATTGATTTTTAGAAGACGGCCGAAGCACAGCCACAAGCAGAACAGATTCAACGCCAACGCCCGAAGCCAGCATCCTCGTCACCCTTGCCGAAGTCGAGCAGCTTTGCTTGAGCCTTCGCGACGTCATCCCGGCCACGCCGCCCTTGATTGCCACCTCGGTGTACGACTGCATCCACAAGCCGTCATTGGTGTCGCCCCGGACCAAGGTACGGTAGTTTGGGTGCATTATAAAGGACTTCATCAGCTTTCCAGAAAAAGCGCATTTTCAGCCTAACTATTTTCTATCAAAGCGGATCGGTGCAAAATTTCGGGAGAATCCAGCCTAGATTCGTACCAAACTTGCCTAAAATTTTAACTGGGTTTGGGCGCAAATTAGCCAAGTTATGCTAATTTTTCAGTCCTCATTCTTGCGACCAGACTTCAATGCACATTTAAATAAGTTCAACAAGTGTCCTACTCAAATGTCGCCTGCTCACGAGCGCCTTGTTTTGCTTCCGCGGCACCGCCCCAAAATCCCGACTCATCCGTTTTGATCCCAAAATATGTTTTAAGGGTGCTTTGGGCGCCTGCCCCTCCCCTCTACCCCCAGGCTAAACCACGCCCCTTCTAGGGGTACGGTAGTCGAGTCGCGCCCTTCAGAAGTGTCAACTGTATCAAAGTGGAACCATTTTCAGCCCGACTACACCGGCTCGGATGGCATGGTGGACTACCTGAAGTTTGCGCTGAACATCAGGAGGCTGCTGGTCGGCGTCTTGGACTATATGAACACGCTGAAGCCGATCGCTGATTTGGCGGATAAGGAGCGGGTGAGCGCTAGATTAATTTCCTAAGAAAGCTCGGCTAGCTTGCCTAATGTTCGAAAAAAACTGAAAAAATTAAATTCCGAAAAGAATGTCTCAAAACTGTTTTAAAATGTATCTCTTTTTTAGGTGACCATCATCCAAAACTGCGCCCCGGCCTACATGCTCCTGAACTTGTTGCACAACACCGTCCACGCCAACCCCAACAACAACGCAATTCTCTTTCCAAACGGCCAGTACATGGCTGATTTTGGTGACGTCAAAGACGAGCCGGACTTTGGAGATGAGAATCGGGACCCGGCCAAGGAGTGAGTTCTTGAGTTATATAGGTTTTAGGGATTTCGAAACTAAATAACTAATTTTAGAGGTCTTAAAGGCACTTGAAGACAAAATTTATGGATCCTTTTCAGAGAGCACGGTCGCTTGAGAAGGCTGCTGATCCGCGACATTTTGCCCGCCTTCCGGGATCTTGAACTTGACGAGCATGAGTATGTGGCGATGAAGGCTGCCCTGGCCCTCGACCCAAACACCGCGCATCTTTGCCCAGAATCGAGGAGATTGCTGTCTGTAGCAAGGTTGGTTTTTAGGAAATTGGCTGAACTCCTTGAGGACGCGGAAATGCCTAGGGGCCAGTTAGAGAGAGAGAGAGAGAGAGAGAGAGAGAGAGAGAGAGAACTAGTCCTCGGGTTAAAATTCAGATACTTACCTCAAATTTTCCAGAGACTCCGTCCAATCCTCCCTCTACCAATACATGGCCGGCCGAGGGCCCGCCGAAGCCATCGCACGCTACGGCAGAATCCTAATGATGGGCGCCACACTCTCGAAAATCGGCGAGGAGGTCCGACGCTGTATCCAGGACTTCAAATGCCCCGAGATCAGCGAGGATTTCTTCCTCCGGGAATTGTTGTTTAACCGGAATTAAAGCGATTTATGTCCTCAATAATCGCAATTATTTAAAGGTATCGTATCCTTAAACGGATCCATAATGGTATCTAAATTTAAGACCTGATTGTACCTAGTCATTAAATTTCTATATCCGCTATACCCAAGCTTTCCGACCCTGTTGCTCCTCAGCCCGCTGGCTTTGACGAGTGTACTTTGTAGCCCCCAGCGTACTGTAGCGTACCCTATTATTGCTATACCTTTGCTCCTAGTCCCTGGCCCGAGTGCAGATTTTTATCCCCCTTTGACCCGCTCTCCGTTGGTGACAAAATGTGATGTGTACCACTACGATTTCGGTTTATTTTTGGTTTACCTTGATTTTTTCTTATTTCCCCCACACTGCAAGCTAACCCGCATTATTTAGTGATCTCCACCGGTTCGTAGAAATTGACTAGAATTTTTTAAGGTATGTTATTGGGCTTAAGATTTGGTCAAAATCGAGATTTCTACTACGAAAAGTCGTCGAAAATCGCTTGTTTTCGAGGATTTCGATAGTTTTCAGACAATTATTAACCTAATCGATTCCTGACCAATTCCGACCTTCCCCTCAAATTTGACATTTCAAAATCACCTCCTCCTCTCACAATGTGACCATATATGACTTTTAATACGTAACATACTTCTCTCCAGCCGTCCCGGGTCACCGAAAGAATGAATATTCACGCGCTTTGCCAGAATGCTTTCTTGTTTGTAGGGTTATACACCCGATGTACAGTTTAAATTGAAGTACCCCTCGATTATACCTATCCAAAGACCCCTACCCACCGACTTCCTTATCTTGGCAGGGCTTGTCTTGATTTGATAATTTTGTATTTTGCGATCAAAAGTTTTCCCTTGGATATCTGGCTTTGATGATGATGGATGTGAAACCGTGATATTGCTCGTGTAAAGAATAAAGTGTGATGAAACTAAAAATTGTTTCTTGGAATACACCGAATCGCATCTGCACAGTACATTAAAGGGAGAGTGACAGCAGAGAAATAACCTGAAGAGGCGGCGGGAAGCGGGCAATAGGAATAGTGAGCAACCGAAAGACAGAGAACGATAGCGAGCGAGAGAAAGAGCGAGAGAGAGAAAGAGAGAGAGAAAGAGAGAGAGAGAGAGAGAGAGAGAGAGAGAGAGAAAGCGAGAGAGAGCGAGAGAAGTGGAGAGAATAATGAGGTAGAGAGGCATAGCTAAAGATACACACCTAAAGTTAAATCAAGCAGGCGAGAGACTTATGGAGGCCCCGATGGACGGATAGAGTGAGAGACAGAAAGCTAGAGCGGGATGGAGAGCCAGAAAGAGCGGGAAATAGAGAGCGCGAGAGAGAGAGAGAGAGAGAGAGAGAGAGAGCGAGAGCGAGAGCGCGAGAATGAGCGGAGACGAGATCCATTTGAAGTTGTTGATATTTTCCAGACTTCCACACCGCTCTTTGCCAAGAAAACGGAGCTTCGACTCCCACACGTGGCCTGAACACACAGGTCAAAAAGGATCAGAACACAGTTTTTACGCCGATTTTTGGCGCTTAAAAACGGTCACCCCTGTGGATTTCACATTCCGGAATGGAACGCAGACAGAGCAGGCCACGACTGGTATTGGCATAGCTGAATTCCAGCCGCCGATCACCGGTGTATTTTCCCCTGAAGCTCAAATGGAATTCCCCGTCGCCGACCTGATAGTTACTGAAAAAGCTGTCTGGGTATTTTGTGGCTTGGCAAAGAGCGGAAATCGTGTAGATCCATTGCATAATGCTTTACAGAGCCCACGTATCAGATTTCGGCTTGAGGCGATACCTCGACGCCCACCCAAAATTCCCCTTCCGCCAAAAAACGACGGCTGGCTTTCGCTTTTGGCGGATCTAGCCCAAAAACGAGCCGAACCCGTGCGGATAGGCCGAGATATGCGCCCGGCTCGCGGGACAAGCTGGTTTTTTTATGCCGACGGGCGGGATCTTGGGGATCCGACTGGATCGAGTTGATCACATTTCCATTTCTTGCCGCAGATTTCTCCTTCTGTTCTGGCAGCATTATAATTTTTGAAGCGTGAAGCTCTTGGCGTTAATTTTTTCTTTTTAAATGGTTATTGAAACACAAAACTACAACTTCTAGAAAGACCCCGTCGGCCGTACCATGTTGCAACGAATTTTTCTGATTACACTTGGTAAGTATAGAGTATTAATTAATCCTTGTGTCCATCAACATGGTATAAAAATGCATAGTTTGTAAGTTTGTTTTATTTACCTTCCGTTATTTTAAAATATTATAAAAATACGGTTTGCCCGCCGCTTGCGTCTTTCGGTAAAGAATTGTGGGCCAGAATTCGGTAAGCCATCTTTTGCATCCAACACCGACGGATCCAAAAATTTAATCCGATGATCTGAACAGATTATTTGTATGGTAACCGTATCCGGTAAAGAGGCTTGATAATACCAAGCACCCAGATCCCGGTCACCGTGGGATTACCGTATAATTCCCCGTACGGTGTACCGAAAATTCAGGGGCCGTGCCCCCGGAGGAGATAGTTAGAAAACAGACTAAATCACGTTTAAAAATTGCGATTCTAAAATTCAAAATTTTGCTTCAGCCTTGGCTTGCCTGGCCGACGGCTTCATCCTACGCCAGAAACGTCAGACGATGGAATACCCTGAGGAGTTGAAGCAGTACGCCCTTCCGCACGCTGGTACCAGGATCATGGTCGGATACGCAAATCGATATGCGCCACAGGATTATCCAAAATGGTAGGGTTTATTAGTAATGTAATTCACTGTCCGAATAGCTACAACCTGACCGCTCTCTCTCTCTCTCTCTCTCTCTCTCTCTCTCTCTCTCTTACCTAATATAGCTATACGCCCCATATCTTAAACGATACGCGACGCACCATTGGCGCAACTTCGTCATTCAGCGATTAAAATTTTAAAATTTCATTTAAAAAATTATAACCTGATTATAAAGTAGCTGTGACAAATATAATCTAACTCTATGATCACTTTAAATCCGGTTTTTCAGGTACTCCCGTACGATGATGAAGTGGGGCGGAGAAAGCCGCATGTCCCCCTACGAGCGAAGTGACCCCCATTTCCAGCAATTCATGATGGACAGCTTCCGGCAATAACCACAAACCCCCGATCTCTGTCTTGTACATAACGTGCTTCATTACAACAGCCACTTTCAACAACTTGTTCACCCTCGGTGCCGGATTGTGAGCGGCTTACACGGATTATTAAGAACTTGTTTTGTAAGCGCAAGCGGTTTATTGAACGTTTTCCTAGTCAGTTTTTGTAGCCATTACTTCGGGATTCAGCGGCGCGTCCCAGATGATGGTTTGGAATTCGCGGGGGCCGATTTGGAGGTTCAGGAACTTGCCTGAAATCGTTAAATACCAGATGGTTTCAGTCGCTACGCGACTGCAACCATCTGGCCTTCGGGCTACCCTACATGTCCCACTCCACCACATCCATTCCCACCTCCATCAATGCCGCCGATAGCGGAAACCCCGTTCAAAAACTACCTAAATACCTTCCTGATGGCATCAGATACCCCCCATGGCTGAAATCCCCTTCAAAAACTACCTAAATACCTTCCTGATGGCTAAGATACCTCCCTAGCCGAAATCCCCTCAAAAACTACCTAAAACATTCCCGATGGCCTCAGATACCCCCATGGCTGAAATCCCTTCAAAAACTACCTAAATACATTCCCGATGGCTTCAGATACCCCACAGGCTGAAATCCCCTTCAAAAACACCTAAATACATTCCCGATGGCCCAGATACCCCCATGGCTGAAATCCCCTTCAAAAACTACCTAAAACATTCCCGATGGCTTCAGATACCCCACATGGCTGAAATCCCTTCAAAAACTACCTAGATACCTTCCCGATGGCTTAAGATACCTCCCTAGCGAAATCCCCTTCAAAAACTACCTAGATACCTTCCCGATGGCTTAAGATACCTCCCTAGCCGAAATCCCTTCAAAAACTACCTAGATACCTTCCCGATGGCTTAAGATACCTCCCTAGCCGAAATCCCCTTCAAAAACTACCTAGATACCTTCCCGATGGCTTAAGATACCTCCCTAGCCGAAATCCCCTTCAAAAACTACCTAGATACCTTCCCGATGGCTTAAGATACCTCCCTGGCCGAAATCCCCTTCAAAAACTACCTAGATACCTTCCCGATGGCTTAAGATACCTCCCTAGCCGAAATCCCCTTCAAAAACTACCTAAATACCTTCCTGATGGCTTTAGATACCTCCCCTAGCCGAAATCCTTTTAAAAAACGAAAATAACGACCGACCGGAGGAATGAGAGAAAAAAGAAATGAAATCCCCGTGAAAATTTTCAACCACGAAACCGCGCGACCTGGCTCACTATGCCCAAAATCACTCCAACCTCCGTCCCCACCCCTTTTACTAAGGAAAAACTTCAAAGTTAATTTAATAATTTAAATTAAAACTTTTTCGTAATTTTTTTATCAGTTTGGGGGTTTCTGATGACGCTCTATCCGAATCCGAAGAGAGCTAAGCTCTAGCTCCTTTCCCCTTCGAGTTGAATCTGGGACATGACGCACAGACAGACAGACGGACAGACACCTCAAGGAAATTATTATAGTTGATGAAGGGAAGATGCTGGCAAGCGAAGCTTCGGTTTGGGCTTAAGCTTTAGGCTTGGGGTTAGGCTTGAGTTAACGTTAGGCGTAGCTTAGACTTGGGCTAGGCATAGGCATAGGCTTAGGCTTAGCCTTAGGCTTAGGCTTAGGCTTAGGGCTTAGGCTTAGGTTTAGGCCTAGGCTTAGGCTTGTGCTTAGGCATAAGCTCAGGCTTCGGTTTTTGTAAATTCATCCACAAAAAAGCGTTTTGGTTCATAACTCTTTACGTCAAAAGTCGTATTGCGTACTCCACTACCCACCTGGCCGCTCCGTGTCCACAATCGTCACATTCTCAATCCAGCTTAGCCCGCTGTTCAACAAAATCATCACCCGTTGCCCGGACTGGTTGATCGCGGCCGTCGACTCGATCTGGAAAGGCTGATCCAAAAGCCGTGCTTAAATGAAATACCTCGACCAGATCGTCATTGTCGGAGAGCCGGATTTTTATAGCGCCAGGCCGAATGAACTTGCTGAAAATGACGTCATCACTAATGTAAGCCGGTCAAAAAAAGCAATGGTCTTCTCAAAACCTCAAAAACAACTAAAATTACCTAAAATGCGCGATAGCATAATAAAGCGGCTGTTTATAAAATTCCTGGGACGTTGCATTAACAATGATCGGAGCATCGTAGGAAGAATTTGCCCAGCTCGGCCCTCCATTCACATCCAATACCATGTTGAAGTCGATCCAACCGTTTACCCATTGTGAAATATTCTAAAAATTAAGCCCATTAAATTTAAAACCTTGAGTGCCCCAGAATCCCTGCTACCCACCTCAATCATGCTCATCATATACCGATCCGCCCGGTTCCACCATCCCATTTTCACGCCCGGATAGTAGTCGGTCCAGCCGGTGGCTGCCTAAAATTTTCTAGATGGCTTTTTATGGAATTTCGGTATCGGGTTACCCTTTCTTACCTCTGTATACAAAAAGAATTTATCTCTATGCTGGGTATGAACCACCCAGGTGTCAATAGGAGCGCTGTAGTCGTCGCCGTATTGCTAAAAATTGCTTATTTTGCTGTTCGATTTTGTAGATCATGCCTGGACAGCAAATCCGCTAGTGTACATGTTGACCATACCATCGCTTAGTATCTGAAAAACTAGTTAAAGCGCACGTTCAGGGAGGGGCCGTGTACTCGTCCCAACGTGTACACCCTATGGACGTAGGGACCGCGCGCACTGCCTGCCCGTGGCGTGGCAGGCAATTTCCCTCCTTTGCGGCGTGGGGCGCCCCTAGGCTGACTGGTATGCGACCGCGTCTCCCGATCGGGAGGCCCGGGTTCGACCCCCGGCCGCGGCGAAATTCTTTGCTTTCTTGCCCAAAAGCGTCCCTAAACGTGCCCTTTAAACAACACGAAAAATTTCATAGAAAAAATCTGAAAACCGCCAAAAGTAATAAATTAAGTTTAGCCGTGTGATGCGATCCAGACCACAAACGTAACTTACCGAATACCCCCATTCCTGCAAAAGTTCCCGACCATCATCGACGATCATTAATTTGGTATTTTTGGCCGCCGCAGAGCGTTGCATCGCGATCCCCAGGTAGGAGAGAATGAAATCTCTGAAAACCAGGGTAAACCTGAGCTTTTCAGTAACTTTCGATACCTCTGCTCGGTCGCATTCATCTGAAGAGTTTGCGTCGGGAAAAGTTTCACCGATCCGGTTTCATACGGCCTTGCTCCGATCGTCATCCCCCAGATTGGGACGCCCTGGGCGTGGTAGTGTTCTACCCATCTAAAAACTCATGAAAGGCGATTTGACCAGTTTTGTTATTCAAAACACTTTTATTAATCAGACACTTTTATAAATCAGCTTAAAACGGCGATGAATTTTTCAGAAACATACTTGATCAGATAGTCCGAATATGACTTGAAATAAGGGCCCATATACGGATTCTTCAACGGCGATCCTCCCTAAGAAATAGAAGTTCTTGGTTAAAAAACCGAATATTATATTTATTTTTATTTAATAACATTTTTCGATACCTCAGCCTTCCCATTAACCTTCATCCAGGCTGGCGGGGCGTACGGAGAAGCTACTACCGCTAGGGTTTGTCCATTAGTCGCAGCTCTGGCTTGCTTTATTAACGGAATCTAAAAATGTGGATAAGATAGCTTGTTAACTCTGTTAAGTGGTGTCCAAAGATGTTTTAAATATGGAGTCCTAATCGTTTACCCGCCTTGTACTTTATATCCTCCTCCGTCAACGCAAATTTGGTCATATTCAAATCCCCGTCATTGTCGTTATTTGAATAAACGCGGGCGGAGAACGCGTTGCTCCCAATAACGGTTTTTACCATGGTATACTGGCTTCCTATAAAAATAAGATCTATTTTTATATTTTTTGAGGCAAAAGTGAGATAATTAAGCTCACCTTTAACAGAAAAATAGGTATCGATCAGCTGTTGCCTGGCGTAAGCATTGAGACTCATCAAATTGATCCCAGTAGCATCGGTGAAAGTTCCGCCAAATCCGAAGATTTCCTGAGCAGTACTACGTGTAAAGATTTATGTATAATGTCAGTAAAAAAATTAAGTACAAAAATTTTGACCTGATCTTTTTGAGTTGGGTCGAGCGTAATGACGTAGTCGTGCCCTAAAGAATATTACTCATTTCTTCTGAATTGGGGCAGAAAGAAGCAGTACAATTCCTTACTCTGAACGTCCTCCCATAAATATGCATCTCTCCAAAGGCGTTTTCCTGCCGAATTTGTTTTGTAGCCCATGGCTTCATGAGCTCCAAGCACACCAGGAGAGGCTATCTAGAAATTTCTATAAATATCATTTTTAAAAGCATACCTCATCGCAATAAGTTGCGTTGCAAACGCACACCATCGATGGCTCCTCATAATTCGGCTCGTAATACTTTGGGATGCATGGGGGCAGAAATTGAGCGTGGGCTTAAAGGCGCTGTTACAGCTGTGCATAGAGCAGTATATTCTCTTTTTTTATCGATGATCAAAAAATAGACTACCAATTTGGACTGCTGCCAAAAAAGAGATAAATAATAATAGCGCCATATCCGGAAGCTGCTCAAATTGATTTTGGAGAGCGCTTTGGCTTGAACCCTTTATCAGCTGCCGGGCGTTTGCCGAAATTTTTGGACGGGATTAGCTGATTCTTGATCTTTAAAAGTAGCGCAAAAGAAGATAATAAAGAAGAAAAATATTTCTTTACCGAGAAAGCTTTGAATAGTTGCTTTAAATTAGCTAAAAAGAGGTGCGTAGCTTCATTACAAGGTTTATGTTTATTTTGCCCATCATTTGCGGGTTTTCAAAAAATTTCTCGAGGTAACAAAAAAAAGGCACGGGCGTATAAACTATTGCTCAAAGCGTTGGCAACATTGTGGTGTTGTCAAAAATGCAGCATTCCATCGCATTTTCCTTTTTTCTAGCATCAGTTCTGGCCTCAAAGATCAGTTTGATCCCAAAATGTTGGCACCGTCGTCATGGATCGAATTTTAGCGAGGTCCCAATCCTGGAAATGGTAATTTAACCAAAATTTAACTTAATTTAAAGTATCTAAAAATAGGGCAAACTATTCTATTGCTATCAAGTAACCATCACTCGCATGGAATGGCGAACAGGGGTGGAATTTTTCCTTGATGGTGAATTGACCAGAAGAAGATTTTATGTCCCGCCTCAGAACTGTCAGGTACCACACACATCTTCCGTTACCTCAGCTTTCGGTAGCTTTCAGTTCCTTTTTTAGTTTGAAACAATTGCCCGTATCAGTATCGTTCACGCCAAATGGCGCACCCAACGATGGGCCGATTTCTCATTCACGCTAGGTGATATTTGGCAAGACCCAAAGCTGCCGAAGCTGCTATGCATGGTAGTAGCAATTTTAGATTACTTATAGTAATATATTAATTGTGGATAATTGATAGATGAATCATACGAGCTTTCAGAAAATGCCAATATATGATCGATACGTGGCGCAGAGTTCTCAGGACTATGAGCAATATGTGTGTGACTTGGAGCTGTGTAGTTTTTAGTTGGTGTAGAATAAATTTGACATGGTGTGAAGCGCATAAAATATGATTTCCTGAATTTGAAAAGCAAAATTTGCTACTTATAAAAATGCTACGACACCGGAAAAGCGACCCCTTGTGATACTCACGAATCACGAAATAGGACTTTTTGGCTACGGTTTATCTTTGGCTTCTTTGGCCTCCCCCCCAGCCGGAAGTTTTTGGCTATAACTTCTTTATTGTACACCAGGGTTGAAAAGCCGCTGCGCGGCTTTTTCACCCCTGGGCCCGTCTAGGACCGATTCTAGTTTTCACGTTGCATATTTTTCCCGAATCCCCATACTAAAAAATGAAAAGTAGCCTCTTCTGCTCCTTGATATGGGCTCTCCTGAGTCAGGAGTCCTGACTAGTGATGGGGTTATTCAAATCAAATCTTGAGTCAAATCTGAGAGCTCAAATCTGAATATTTGAAGGCAAAAATTTCACTTTAAATCGGCGGATTTGATTTGAAACCCGGTGGACGAGTTCAAATCAAATCTCGAGGATTTGATTAAAGCGGCTCTGGCAGCACACCGATTACGGCATTTTGGGGACCGGGCAGAGACGCAGAGTTCTGTCTGCGTCTCTCCTCTGGGCGCGCTCTTTCTCTCCCTGCCGTGACGCACCCGACCGCGACGCTTCCACGAGTCGTGGAAAAAGGGGCTTGCTGCCAGAGCCGCTTTAAGCTTCCGGTTCTTAATCAATTCTTATGGAATTTCCGGCATTCAAAAAACAATAAAATCGCCATTGCCGAGCTGCCGCGAACCGGAAATGACCTTGATTATGCATGCAATCATAAAATTAGCATCCTTGTAATCGGCTGTTGATTTTTTTACTCTTTTCAAATCCTCGTTCAAATCTTCAGATTTGAACTCAAACCTCCAAAGCCCAAATCAAATCGCTTTGATTTGCAGCGCTGCAACCTTATTCAAATCGAATCGGTAGATTTGATTAGGCGGATGCAAATTAGATTTGAGATTTGAATAATACCATCACTGCTCCTGACTTCCGGCGCATGCTAATTGTTTCCTAACAAAAAGGGAGACAAAAATTTTCACAAAAACCTAATTTTAATATCGAAACTAACACTTTTTGGATCAACTATAATAATTTTCTTGACGCGTCCGTCTGTCTGTCTGTCCGTCTGTGTGAAGCCGAATTCAACTCGAAGGGGAAAGGAGCTAGAGCTTAGCTCTCTTCGGATTCGGATAGAGCGTGCTCAGAAACCCCCAAACTGATAAAAAAATTACGAAAAACTTTTAGTTTAAATTATTAAAATTAACTTTGAAAGTTTTTTCCTTTGTAAAAGGGGTCGGGGACGGCGGTTGGGGTGATTTTGGACATAGTGAGCCAGGTCACGCGCGTTTCGTGGATGAAAATTTTCACGGGGGATTTCATTTCTTTTTTTTCTCTCATTCCATCCGGTCGGTCGTTATTTTTGTTTTTTCTTCAAATTTCGGCTAGGGGAGGCACCTTAAACCATCAGGAAGGTATTTAGGTAGTTTTTGAAGGGGATTTCAGCCATGGGGGGTATCTGAAGCCATCAGGAAGGTATTTGAGATTTGAATAATACCATCACTGCTCCTGACTTCCGGCGCATGCTAATTGTTTCCTAACAAAAAGGGAGACAAAAATTTTCACAAAAACCTAATTTTAATATCGAAACTAACACTTTTTGGATCAACTATAATAATTTTCTTGACGCGTCCGTCTGTCTGTCTGTCCGTCTGTGTGAAGCCGAATTCAACTCGAAGGGGAAAGGAGCTAGAGCTTAGCTCTCTTCGGATTCGGATAGAGCGTGCTCAGAAACCCCCAAACTGATAAAAAAATTACGAAAAACTTTTAGTTTAAATTATTAAAATTAACTTTGAAAGTTTTTTCCTTTGTAAAAGGGGTCGGGGACGGCGGTTGGGGTGATTTTGGACATAGTGAGCCAGGTCACGCGCGTTTCGTGGATGAAAATTTTCACGGGGGATTTCATTTCTTTTTTTCTCTCATTCCATCCGGTCGGTCGTTATTTTTGTTTTTTCTTCAAATTTCGGCTAGGGGAGGCACCTTAAACCATCAGGAAGGTATTTAGGTAGTTTTTGAAGGGGATTTCAGCCATGGGGGGTATCTGAAGCCATCAGGAAGGTATTTAGGTAGTTTTTGAAGGGGATTTCAGCCATGGGGGGTATCTGAAGCCATCAGGAAGGTATTTAGGTAGTTTTTGAAGGGGATTTCAGCCATGGGGGGTATCTGAAGCCATCAGGAAGGTATTTAGGTAGTTTTTGAAGGGGATTTCAGCCATGGGGGGGTATCTGAAGCCATCAGGAAGGTATTTAGGTAGTTTTTGAAGGGGATTTCAGCCATGGGGGGTATCTGAAACCATCAGGAAGGTATTTAGGTAGTTTTTGAAGGGGATTTCAGCCATGGGGGGTATCTGAAGCCATCAGGAAGGTATTTAGGTAGTTTTTGAAGGGGATTTCAGCCATGGGGGGTATCTGAAGCCATCAGGAAGGTATTTAGGTAGTTTTTGAAGGGGATTTCAGCCATGGGGGGTATCTGAAGCCATCAGGAAGGTATTTAGGTAGTTTTTGAAGGGGATTTCAGCCATGGGGGGTATCTGAAGCCATCAGGAAGGTATTTATGTAGTTTTTGAAGGGGATTTCAGCCATGGGGGGTATCTGAAGCCATCGGGAAGGTATTTAGGTAGTTTTTGAACGGCATTTCGGCTATCGGGGGTATTGATGGAGGTGGGAAAGGATGTGGTGGAGTGGGACATGTAGGGTAGCCCGAAGGCCAGATGGTTGCAGTCGCGAAGCGACTGTAACCATCTGGTAATTGAACAGGTTTGCAGTCGTGTCATCCATTGCGCACCTAATGACGTATGTATCATACATACCCCTAATTCCTATATGTCTTTGTCTTAGTCTTTGACTGCCAAACCGATTTATTAGTTTGCTGCGCAAGTCCACTTAGTTGGGCGCCGGGCACTGGTTGAGCTTGCCGTTGGCGTTACAAGTGGGATCAAGCGGGTCCTAAAGATCGGTTGCAGTTTTCGGCATCGACTCACCAGGGAGGCTCTGGCAATGCCGCACGTCAATGCCTTCACCTGATCGCCGCAGGCCTTGCCATAGATGTTGGCCTTGCAGTCCATCAGCGTGTTCATCGCCCTGAGTTGAAAATTGTAGCGACTGAGCCGGGCCAGACAGTCGCTCAGAAAAAGAATGCTTGCAAGAGGAAACTATGCGCTTTCAGAGGTCAACTTCAATCTTATCAAACTAAAACTCACTTGCAAACGTCAACCTTAACATTCTTCCCGTAATCCGTGATGCACTGCTCAATTTCGTTGACGTGCTGGACGATGGCGGCCTGATAGCAATCGAAATTGGTATAGAGGGCTGAAAGATATCGAGGATAGGATAGCAGTTTTCGTGGTCACCATCAATTCCCGTGGTGCACTGGAATTCCATGGCGGCGAGGTCTGTTTGATAGGTTGCCGCGTCATTGACGCTCAAGCCCAGCGCTACGTAGCAATCACGAGAGACGGGGAGGTACTTCCGCAAGCAGTCGGCCAATGCCCAAGTGGTGCTGAAGGCTTACTTTTCATTCTATCGAAATTTCAGACTTTTTCCCCTAGATTGTTCTTCGCAAAAATTTAGCAAAATTGTAAGACTTTTATTTGGCAACTTTTGGATTCGCGGGGGGAACCCTTTTTTCCCGGCGGTCCCGGTTGGCCTAGTAACCCCATATAGTGTTTGTGCATAGCTTTTAGAAAGTTTTGACCCAATTAAAAGTATAAAAAAATTTAACGAGTTAAAAATGTTTGTAAAAGTCGAATATTTGATCATTTTGGGCCGAGAAAAATAACTTTTTTGGACCTAAAATTATTAATTATAATTTGTAAAGTTTTATGTTAAAGAATAGATAAAATCAATTTAAAACGCATCCGCTATTTATAAAAAAAAGTTCAGGCTCGCGCCCAAAAATTGGGGTTTTCATTTGTAAACCTGACGATCTCGTGCCATGAAGCCGGAAGGGCCTGAAATTGACCTGCAGACGGGGAAGAGAGCGTTTCGTCCATCTTTTGCATACATGCTCTGCCTCGGTCCAGCCCAGCTGATCGGAGCCGGCAGCGTTTTTCCCGGAGCGGCTAAAACATTTAATAATCCAAGAGCGAGCCCTTCTGGTACCGTAATTAGTTCTCTTGGTTCCGGACTTTTAGCGGGGGAGCTAAATTTTCCCCTGTGATTCTCTACGGCCCTATAGCAAAATATAAACCATTTGAATGGCATTTTGCATACTTGTAAGATACAAAAACTATATAAAAAGGTATTGTTTTACTTTTTGGTAAAAGGCCAAGATTTTGGAATTTTCAAGAGTTTTAAAATATTGTTTGTGCTTTTCTAGAAATCAAAAACTACCAAAAACACTATAAAAATACATAATATGTCATCAACAGTGAATGAAAAAATAGAAAGCGGTTCCCCCCTGCTAAAAATGTCCCCGCTAACAGCCCAGAACCGTTTTGTACTTTTCGGGCGGATAAAACTAATTCGAAGCGGCTCGTAATAAACTCACGGACACCGTAGAACCTTAGGAAGGGCGTGTAGCAGGTTGACATAACCTGCAGAAGGCTAGCCGGGCAGTCCGCCGCAATGCCGGCGGCGAACAGCGCTGTATTACGTATACCCAGCACAGAAAAATTTCCTTACCCGTCAGCAAAATCAGCTTCACGATTAGTAATCGGGGTCTAAGGACTAGAACCTTGCGGCGGGCTTTTTATTTGGTGCGGGCTAAGGCTTATCTTACCTACCTCGTGAAGAAGGGAACGTAAATGGGCAAGAAGTATGCGTGGGGGAGTTTGATAAGGTGAACGTTAATTTGAAGGACCCGGATGAGACAGGATTTGGTAAATAGCCGGAAACCAAAGGAGGCGGGGGCGGAAGAATGGCCGATTCCCGGTCACCTGATCGAAAATCTCCTGATCGAAAATCGCCTGATCGAAAATTATCTAATCGATAATAACTCAAAAAGTAGTTTAACACATTTTAAAAGCCTAGAACAGCCCTAAATTTTTTTGAGTTATTTTCGATCAGGCGATTTTCGAGATTTTCGATCAGGCGTATTTTCGCTCAGGCGATTTTTCGATCAGACGATTTTCGATCAGGCGATTTTTCGATCAGGAGATTTTCGATCAGGCGATTTTCGATCAGGATCGGAAAGTCATGTTCCCCATGCAAGCGTCGCATTCCAGCGCCCATGGCCCGCGAAGTGGGGTTTGTGCGTCGTGCGCTCGGGTAAAACTATGTTTTTGGGTGTTATCGGTGTCTCCACGTACTTCTTGACCCCGTGTGTGCGTCTCGCTGGGAGAAGTGAGATAAACCGTTTAGATTCTCAGATATAAACATTTGGCCAGTCCGCCGCTCCAAGTTGAGTTGACCGTGTGCCCGCCATGAAATTGCAGTTGTTGATCGGTAATGTGATTTCCTTCAGAGGATATTCATTGGGATAGTTATTTTTGTTATGGGCGTGAGAGCAGACTGCCCGGCATCCATATTGCAGAGCATGGCTAGCTGCTACGCTCCATACTTGAGGTTCTACGGGCTTTGTGAGTTGCCTACACCGCCTTGCAAGTTTACGCTTTATTCATCGGAAACCGAACCTTATCCTGATCTCTTACAGTGGCCGGCAAAACCTTACCAAGCGCAGCAAGCTGGGCAACCTCTAGGGAACAAATGTACAAGAAGGATGGGCGTAATGCGCTTTTTCCTGTGTGCAGGTATGCTTAGGAGCTTCACAAAGGTTGAATTGCCATGGCAGAACAACATATATGTATACCATCCAACGTTTAGCAACACTTGGACGTTGTCGGACTGCCTACGGAAATATATCCCGCTTTCGATCGATTGCTATGTGGCAATGGGGCTGAGCGCGGAAGACGCAGCCACTTATCGGAACGACCTGGGTGCCATGGAATTCGAGTGCACCACAGGCATCGACGGTACTCCAGCCAGGTCCATGGCAAGCACGGGTTCTTTCAGCCCTCTATAACAATTTTGACTGCTACCGCGCTGTGTTCGGCCCGTATCAGGCTCAGCTCCAACAGTGCAGCGCCGATTACTACAAAAATGCCAAATTTGGGCTTTGCAAGTAAGTTTTACCCGGCTTGATGCTTACTAATGGGCGCTTTGGTCAAGTTTTTCTGTCGAACTAGTCGGTAAATACTCGGCTCAACCTCAGATTCCAGGGCGATGAACACCCTTATGGATTGCAACTCGGGTATCTACGGAAAAGCGTGTGGCGCACAGACCAAAGCAATGGCTTGTGGGATTGTGAGAGTATTGATGGTGGGCGCTTCCATAAGATTAAAGGGCGAGAACGATGTTAAGAATCTGGCTGACCCGCAGTGCGAGGCAACTGGGCAACTGAACAAATGTCCAGCATGCAATTAATAACTTAGCAACAACCTGCCAATGCCTCTGCCTTAACGAAGCTTCGGCCGAGTAAATAAACCTCCAACCAATAAAGCATCCATAATTTGAAACAACAGCAGGCCGTCAAAATTCAAACAAGGTCAAAAATTTTTTTAAGCATGATTAAAGATGGTAGTAAACTCGTTTATCCAAACTAGTTCGTAAATGACATTCAATCGCCGTAACACAACCTATGGCACACTGGACTAAAAACTACAGAGCAAATCCGAAAATACTAAAATTTGTTTAGCAAAGCTGCACACCAATAAACAAGGAATAAACAAGTAATAAATAAGGAATAACCAGCCGTGGACGATCAGTAGATGCGTTTTGTTGCCTGTTGCGATGCTTCGGTTCAAGGGAGGGCCATTTTTTGTTATTCATAAAAAAGCAGAAACCCCCAATGAGCACTGATGACAGCATTCTATCCTCCCCGTCCCGGACTGCCGACCGCCTACGCAGGCGACTCGTGTAGAAGTCAATCCAAAACCCGACCCCCTCACGATAGGCTTGAGTTCCCCTTCTCCTTCCATCGACGCCCTTTTCCTCCATCTATGCGCTCGTGGTGTAATGGTCAGCATGAATGGCTTCCAAGCATTCCACGGGGGTTCGATTCCTCCCCGAACGCGGGTTTTTTGCTTTTCCGGGCATTGATAGAATTGGTCAGCGGCAATCTAGCCCAGTTTTGATTGGGGTTTTTTTGGCAAGCATTCAGCCACGAAATGGGTGAAGGGAAGGCCATAAAATCTTTATTTATCAGAATATTAATTAATCACATATACAGGGTGGCTGAAAAGTTCCCGCAATTTCTTCTAGCAGGTCAATAGACGGAAAATTCCTAAAATTTGGCTGAGGGAAGGCAACAGAAACTTTATTTACTACGTAATCAACAGATTACAACACAAAAATCCGCAAGAAATGTTCACGAATTCCACCAGCAGCTGAATAGAAGCGCGCAGGCAGCCGTGGAAATTGCCGGCCATGGTCGCGCCCTCCCGGTGAGCAAGGAGGCGTCAATGTTTTCACTATAGAATCGAGTCGGAACGGGAAAAATCATCGTAAACTCTTCAAAAACGGTTAATAGAGGAGTCTTGGTCTATCATTCCCGTTCTCCGAGAACTTTGATGATTTGAGTAAGAATCTAGAGCCCCAGCAACCCTTAAACCGTTTTCGTTCAGAAAAATGTAAAAATCGAAGTCACCGAGCAACAATATCAAGCCCTTAGGATCGTTTCTGTTGCGGAGCGCCTTCGAGCGCCCCCGCCTTTTCCCTTTGCTCCCCGGCCCCTCGCCTATCCAGTGCCCTTTCTACCGTAACGGGGTCCCTCTCCCCACTGGGCCAGCGATGGCATTTATTTCCCCAGTTCCGATCCAGTTCAATTCTACTCCTAATTCCTTCTTGCCGCCATGTCGCTCACCGAATAAACAGTTGTTCGATAACTGTTCGTCCCGCTGCGCACACCACTTACTCAAGACACAACAACTGGCGATCAAGGACTCCGAACTCACGCAAATCAAGGAAGATCCCGAAGCCAACAGCCACTCGAACCGCCGCCGCCCAGTCAAGTCAAGTTGGTCAAGCAGATGTGGATCAAGCGCAAGGACAAGAAGCTCTACATGGCAAAGAAGCGGCGTCATCCCATGGAGGATTCGATTAAAAGGGAAGTCTTTTTGCCCCTATTTGGCCTTCGCACTTTTATGTGCCCGGATCGCGCGACCATGCCCGTCGACAAGAAGGACCAATTCGAAGCGCGCCGTCTTCGCCCTCAAGCGCAAGAAGGAAGGAAGGATATCTCCAGCCAAGGACGACAAGAAATGCAGAGAAGGCCATGACGAATGGGTCAACTACGCGGCATCCGGCTGCCGCTCGCCCACTGGAACTCCGTCAAGGCCGGCCGCGACTTCTTCAAGGGAAGAAGAAAAAGACCGCGGTGTCTTTTCACGTTGGAAAAGCCCGCGGCAACGCCCGGCCGTTTATAGCCGTTGAAAGACCGGGATGCAGGCTTTTTTGAAAAGTCCCCGGCAACGCCCGGCCGTTGATAGCCGAGGAAGACCGGCGCGCCACTATCGCGAGCCGCCGGCCGATGGTACACCTCTATGGAAGAGGCCCGTCGTGAAGGAAGACCGGGAGGTCGACTTTTTGAAAGTCCCCCGGCAACGTCCGGCCGTTTATAGCCGAGAGAAAGACCGGCGCGCCACTACCGAGAGCGGCCGGCAGATGGTACACCTCTATGGAAGAGGCCCGTCTTGGAAAGACCGGAAAGCCGACTTTTTTGAAAAGTCGCCGGCGACGTTACGGCCGTCTGTAGCCTGAAAGACCGGGACCCAGACTTTTCTGAAAAGCCCCCGGCAACCTCCGACGGTTTGTAGTCGAGAAGACCGGCGCGCCACTACAGCGAGCAACCGGCCGATGGATTTCACCTCTACGGAAGAGGCCCATCGCGAAGACCGAGTCTGATGCAGCAACTCGGCGGACGGTGCCCCAGCGAGCCCGTCGACATGGAGCGGCAAGATCAAGCTCATCATTCCTGCACGAGGGAAGGAGGCGTGCCCGCAGTGCCGTCTACCTTGGTGAAGCATCGTCGAACGTTGAAGGAAGGAAGGAAGGATGACCGTCGCCCACGCGCGCGCCAAGTAATAAAGGAAAAAGCAAATAAGTTTGACTTGTTTTACGTTGTGATTTGATCCTTCGTTTTGCTGTACGCAGTTGTACATTTTCCGTTGGTGTCTCCTCTCCTATTCACATTTCCTTTCTTTTTTCGTTTTGTACAGGGGGAGGTGTTGCGGAGCGCCTTCGAGCGCCCCCGCCTTTTCCCTTCGCTCCCCGGCCCCTCGCCTATCCAGTGCCCTTTCCACCGTAGCGGGGTCTCTCTCCCCACTGGGCCAGCGATGGCATTTATTTCCCCAGTTCCGTTCTGGTTCCAGTTCAGTTCTAATTTCCTCCTCCTATTGCCGCCATGTCGCTCACCGAATAAACAGTCTTTCGAACTGTTCGTCCCGCGCTGCCACACTCTACGCAAGACACAACAGTTTCAGAGCCGTGAATTAAGCAGTCTTTTAGTTAAAACGTTTTCACGCTTAAGCAAGACTGGACACCAGGTTCCGGCCCGTTCAACCATCACCCTCTGGGGAAAGTTGTAATCGGGTTT